TAAGGAATAAAAGAAAAACAAGATTCGTTGTGCCATTAGAAACAGTCTGCAGTCACAGCGCAACTGTGGGGAAAGAAATCACTGAAGCAGAGCTCAGCTCACCTTGAGAGACTGATGCTGATAGATAGTGGGGGCTTGAACACATTCTGAATTATGAAATGAAAGCAAACAGTGGACAATGGAAGACAATAGCCATACTAACTACCCTGTAGCGGGTTTGTTAGGGCTGTATGGAGCACTTCAGACACAGTCCCGATGCTTAGAGAATCCATTCATCAAGGGCTTACCCCATGCCACTCTCTTCAGAGAACAATTTGTTCAGTTCGGTGCTGGTAGGTGCCCTGTCCTGCAGATGAGGAAAGTGACACGTAGCCTTTCACCAGCTGGCCCACGGTCACGCAAACTGGGCAGTGCTAAGTCCGGGGTGAACGCCCCAAACCGGCAGATTGCAGAGACGATGCTATAGCAACCTCTCCGTTACATTCTCAACTAGCTGCCAACCTTCATCTCAGCCCAGTTAGGCAGGGTACGGCCTACCCATTCCATGGTGAAAACCGGCAGATTCAAGTCAAAACTGAGTACCTTGCACAGGATTGCTTGTGAGTAACAGTGTCAACATTAAAAGCTGGTTCATCTGTTTCTAGATTCTGCGAAATTTCCACTATATTACTCTGCCTCTGTGATTGTATTTTTCATTTGTTTACTTACTCATTCATTCATTTGTTTGTTTATGTAACAAGTGGTTGTTGAGCACCTTACCCCATGCTTTGTTCTGGGCTCAGGGGATACAGAAGTGAACAAGAAAGCCAACATTCCAAGTTTCACGTGCTGGGAGGGAGAGATGGGCAGTAAGGAAGTAAACCAGTGAGTGACGTGTTAGTAGATGCAATGAGGAAAAATAAAGTCTTATAAGGGGCTAGAAGAGGATGGAGAGATGGGCGAACTTAAACTTTCTAGGTAAGGAGGTGAATGCAGGGAAACCTGTAACTGCCAGTGGTCATTTTATCATCCTGTCACCTTCTATCGCAGGGGTCTTGACTTCTTGGTTTCTGTGACCTTGAAACTGAATCTGAGTTTTATATTGGTTTTTTTTTTCTGGTATATGGTTGACTGAAAACCTCCCATTTCGGTGCAGAAATGATTTTATGCCGGTTTTATTTCATATTCTGCTTGCGTGATTATTCCAAGAGACACAATGGGTAACTGTTTCCGTTGTGAGTACTTGTTCCATGTAGCTGTCTTAACTCGGTGAGCAGATGCTTGGGCTTCCTGGGAGAGGGTGCCTTGCCAAAGTTAAGTGAAAGAAGGGCCTTTTCACTGTCCTCCGTACTTGATGCGGGACATTAGTTCTTAGAGGCCATCTCGTGAGAAAAGCACTTGGGATGCCAGGAACTAAGAGGCTGATTTTAATCGAACACGTATATTCCAGAGTCCGTGATGCTAAGATGTGTGCAGCTTGTTTTTGCTTTCCTTTAAAAGCTGAAACTCTCCTCCCCAGGAGTAATTAAAAATAAACAGCACTCATTACTGTTGGCTTGTAATGGCCACAACATTGCTTCCTCGCATCAGTGATTTACTGATCGAAAGCAAAGTAATTCAACGTTGAAATTATCTGGAAAATTAAAAACCATTCTAAGTAATGAATAGTTTCAATTTCTGTAGCACCAATTGATGTTTCATTGTCCTTTTTTATGCTTCCTTCTGCACATACACAACTTGCTGACAAACATGGTCTGATAGGGACTCCACCCCCAAGAACCGTGGGCCAAGCTATTTCTGGGCTTAACTCTATAGACTCGGGGGTGACGTTCATGCATTCAGTTATCCAACCAACATTTTTTGAAAAGCTTCCTTAGGCAAGGCATTTTCCCAAAGGCCTTGGGGAATAAACATAAGAACAGCTAATGGTCTCTGCCCCCTAGAGAACTTATTATCTAATTGGGATAAAATGTTATTCTAATTCTGTCCCTTTAATTGAACTGTTGATAGTATAATTTAGCCAATCTTGTGCGGTTGGGTATTTAGGAAGATATATATTTGCTCTAAAAGGCCTGTGTTATATACCCTCATGATAAATATCTGTTTATACTTCTGATTATTTGTTTGGATCTGTACCAGGAGAATAACTATGTCAAAGGACAGGAATGTTTTAGCCTAATTAATACATTTGAAGAAGTTAGGCAACGGAAGAACAAATGGTTGCCACCTTCTCCGTTGCCACAGATACTGGGCCTGGGCCTGTCCTTATTCCATGACCTCGTCACTGTGAGGACACCTCCTGCTGCTCCAAGTGTGTGTCCCTGGCCACTGATTTTCAAACAGTCTTCAGAAATGGTTAAACCTTTCCTCATTTTCAGGGGTAATATGTGAACTGAAATAGTGCTGGCAAGAAATTGTCAACTAACATCAGCAGTTTGTGTCTAACACGAGCTCACCGAGGTTTTTTCTTGCTTATATATCTGGAATTTTAGAAAATTAAGAAGTCATGAAAAGTGCTGTTAGGTGGTTTGGGAAGTTTCTTTGACTAAAAAAAAGGGAGATTACCACTGATCAACAGTTGAATATTGACTTAAAAGTTAGGGAAAAATAGAATAGTATTTTTATAGGGCTTATTGAATTTCATAAAAACATATTTAGGGTATTCATATTTAGGATAAATTAAGTAGCAAAACACTTGGTGCTAATGTATTTTTTAAAAATATGTTTTATTGATTTTTTTAGAGAGAGAAAGGAAGAGGGAGAGAGAGAAACATCAATGTGAGAAATAAACATCAATTGGCTGCCTCTTGCACGCACCCCAGCTGGGGGACTGAACCCACCACCTGGGCATGTGCCTTGACCTGGAAACCAACCAGTGACCCCTTGGTGCATGGGATGACCCTCAACCAGCTGCACCACACTAGGCAGGGCAGTGCATTTTACTTAAGCACAGAGTTCCTACCTACAGAAGTGGCGGGGGAGGGGGGAAACAGTGTGGATGGGGTTCAGAATTCTGACCACGTGTCACTTAAAGGGGAAGTTTTGACGTGGCGTCGAGGCTAGCCCGTAGCGATCTGTCGCAGCTTGTGACAGCATGTTTGCTTCCTAATTTTGTTTGCCCAGCTGTTTGCTCTCTTTTCCGTTCTAACCTCATTGGCTGTGCTGCTCCTTCCTAGGACTATGGGACACAAAAACCGCTACGTCAAGGTGCCTCGCGGTCACATCTGGGTGGAGGGCGATCATCATGGACACAGTTTCGACAGCAATTCTTTTGGGCCGGTAAGTCGCCTTGTTGCTGTCGTCATTGGATGTCAAAGGTGGGAGCAAAGGTGTGTCAGACTGTGCGCTCAAGGAATCCAGCCAAGACCCGTCATGAACCTCCCAGTGGAGCCATTGGTGTTTGATAGTTTCCTTTAGGGTCATTGAAGCCATGGTGTGTGTGTGTGTGTGTGTGTGTTGCATAGAGGATGCTTCCATGAAGCTGGCTGGCTGATCCCAGTGGGATGGTCTTCATTTCCCCCCAGAAATGCTTTGTAGCTTAAGTTTTCAGTTGGTACTTAATAGATAGAATGTGTAAAAGACCGTAGGCACCCTTTTTCTATACCAGTCCTTAAAAATGCAGGCATCATGGAAATCACATTGGTAAGTAACATGCTGTCAGCATTAAATTATAGCAGAAATGCATAAACTAAAAAAAAAAATTGCAGAAATGCAGATGTTCCTATGCCATGCTTATAGTACAGAAAATATGTGACTAAACGGATATATGTACAGAGATTCTCGACTTATGAACCATTACAATAAATCATTATGCAAGGCAAAGAAACTGTTAGTTACTGGGAATTGCACCTGATTTCTGGTTACCTATGTCTGCTAAAAAACTTGGATTTTCACCCAGTAGATTTCCCTAAAGTGAGTCATATCTATACTTAATATTTATGTGTAAGTCAGTATTAAACACCTTCAGATAGGTTTGCAAAAGAGTGTGTCCCCAGAGTTTTGTCTAAACTGACTGTTGGTGGTGTATATGTGACAACCTGTTTGCATATTATGAGGGATCACATGGCAGTCACCTCGACTCACCTTTGGCTAAAAGTACAGTCATGGAGATGCACGTAGATCAGAACTATAGGTAAGTGGAATATCTTCAGGAGACTACACCACTTCCTTTTTCTAGTTGCCAGGCAACACAAAATTCTGAGATAGTCATTATTTCACAGATATAATTGACTCTTTGTGTCTTACACTGAGGATGGGACAGGCAGGTTGGAAACGTTGTAGGCCACCTGTGGTATAGAAGTGATTGCTGTGAACAAATCCAGTAACAACTTGAAAGTGAAAATAAATCACCTAAAAGCAGTTTACTTCTCTCTCCCCAATAAGATTAAATCTAATTTCATGTATCAGGTGTGGACCAAGTCAACACAAAATGGCCGTCAACTTTAGTTCGGGTTTTAATTGGTTTTCATTTTCAGTGACTCTGAGAGGAAGTGTTAAAAACCGTTGTTTTGCTATTGGTTGTGGGATGTGTGACAAAAGTTAGAGATGGTTTTGTTTTTTGCTTATCCATTGACAACCATGTTGCTTGCAGCACTTCACTTCCATTTGGTTTATGTCATGCTTTTAAAGGAAATCTACTTCTTAATTACAGCCTGAACCAGGAATATGAGCCTGAGACACAAAATGACTTTGGAATGGAGTGACTCTTTCCTTTCGTTTTAATGGATATGTATATTCAGAGTGTCTTTTGGTTTATGGTTGGATAAGCTATCAATTTTCATTCACTTAACTAGCTTTTCTTTTTCTTTTTTTTCTTTTTTGGTCAAAATTAGATGAAGAAACTTTTCGAGGGTTAAGGAAAACATTTGTTACATATGTATTAACCTATTTGTGTTTGATGAGTTATAAGTACCTAATTTTACTTTAATCATGAGCTCTCATGTTCTACGTTTCAACAGCATTTATGCCTAGGAAAAAATAATTGACAATATTAATATTGATACTCCCCAACAAGTTTTAAGAGGACAGAGGGGGGAGAAAGTGAAGTAAAGCCCCACAATCCTTATTTAAAGCTAATCTGTGATGTTTGAGTACAGAGAATTCTTATTGCATTTTTGATGAAACGAATGATTATCTGAATAATTTGTTAATTATTTTAAAGTTCTTATAATTCTAAAAAGTAAAAACTAAAGTTTTCTAATTCTAAAACTCTAATCTTGAATTTTAAAGTGCATGCAGATTTGAGAATTAATCTGTTTCCCCAGTAGCTTTTGGTTTATGTTTTTGGTTTATGGAGAGTGCCCTTGGCAATGGTACATGGAAGGGCGGTAACTTTTCTAGGTGGCCCATCCTTTCCTGCCCTGGAGAGAAGGGAATGCACTTCTCTCCAGAGGCAGCCGGGATGGCCTCCAGGACGCTTATCTTGACTTTGTGGAGATTGATCGAAGCCTTTACCCTTCATTTTCCTCCCGAGTAACTTCAGCAGTGCATCCAAATACAGCGGACATGCTTTGACTCTTCGAATAGTAGATGTCCTTTATCATGGCATCTACCCAGCTCATTTGACATTGTGGCCCTCTGGCAATCACAGTGGGGCTGACTTTCTCCATCTGGAAGTAGACTTAGTTCTGTGTAAAGAAGAATAAGGAAAAGAATGTTTCATTCTGTATGTTTTTTCCTAGTGTGTTATTTCCTATTTATTTCTTAAGATTTGAATTTGCATTTCTGATTGGCTTATTGCTGTGATATGTAGGTCCTGAATGGGATTTAACAGTTTTACAGGTAAAAGATGAACAGTGGAATATGAATTTAGAAGAGCAATATTGAGTTATAGAAACAGACAACATTGCAGCAAAATAAGTCCCGACTCCTCTCCTTCTAACATGTTGGGATGCCATTATAGAGGGAAACTAGTCGGCACTCTGAGGATCGCAGATGACATGTTACAATAAAACACAAAGTCATACCATCTTGGCTGCCGACCGCACCAGTCACTCAATTAGCAGGGGTTTTCTCTGCTCATGTCTAACAGGAAAAGTTTTCTCTTCGCTGAATCCATCTCACATAGACAATTGATAAAGTGAGCACGTGTGTGTGTGTGTGTGTGTGTGTGTGTGTGAGAGAGAGAGAGAGAGAGAGAGAGAGAGAGGGAGGGAGGGAGACTGGATAGGAAATGTTTCCATTATGAGTATATCTTTATGGAATATCTTGGTTCTAAGCCTCTTGAATATATATCTTCACCACATGTTGATAGAAAACGCCCTATCTTTCTTCTCATAATAGAAATTCACCATCATAATGGCTTGAGCTTAGATTCTTAGTGTGAAAAATAGCTTTTGTATGTTTTCTTTAAAATGATAATTGTCTGGAAGTGTTTCCTGGGGCCTACTGCCACTTGCGTTTACTGGGTTATACATTAAAGACATCTGATGGTTCTGATATGGAGGCTGATGATTGCTTGGAATGTCGGGTAAGCACTTCTGTTAGTAATTCCTTTGCTCTGTGAAGCAAATTAGGGTCTTTCCCTTCCCCACCCCTGCTTCCTGTAGAGGACGCTGAAACGTTTCCCACTGCAGCTATGTTGTTGTTCTTTGCCAGCATCCAGAAGCACTGATTATAATAAGGACTCATGCATCCTCTGCTTGCTTTCAATCGAAAGCACATCAAAAGCGAATTTTCTGTTTGTGTGTGTACATGCATAGCTGTGGATTTTCAGATAGTTACTTTTAATTATTTCCAGTGAGCTACCCCTGCTTCAGTGAAAAAGGCGTGCTGTACTTCTTCCTCCCGTTTATCATAAATACCGTCCAGTACTTAACCTGAAATGTTTTCATAGGCATTCATTCCTTTTGGTAAAAACACAAATGGGACTCTCCACAGCCTCTGCTTAGCTCAGTGGTTCTCAACCTTCCTAATGCCCTGACCCTTTAATACAGTTCCTCATGTTGTGGTGACCCCCAACCATAACATTATTTTCGTTGCTACTTCATAACTGTAATTTTGCTACTGTTATGAATCGTCATGTAAATATCTGATATGCAGCATGTATTTTCATTGATACAAATAGAACATAATTAAAGCATAGTGATTAATCACAAAAACAATATGTAATTATATATGTTTTCCGATGGTCTTAGGCGACCCCTGTGAAAAGGTCGTTCGACCCCCAAAGGAGTCTTGACCCACATGTTGGCGACCCACGGGTTGAGAACCGCTGATTTAGCTGGCGCATTTTCTGTCTTTGACATTTTCCTGTCATTTTTATCTAGTTTTAAGTCATAAGCCACTAAGATACTTTCATCATTTGGAGTCTACTGATTTGTTGTAAGGAATATATGTTTTCATAGAAATTCTAGTTATTTAGTATCTAAAATAAATACTTTATTTTAACTTCACTGACCAAAGGATGTTAGGAAAAAAAAAACACACAAAATATCATTTGCCTTAAATATTTCAAGGCAAAGATAATCTTTCCAAATGTATGAAAGTATTTGATTCTTAGGTTTGTGATCACAGTGTCACCTTGTGAATGATTTGTGTTCAGGAAGCATGAAGCAGAGCTGAACAATTCGTGTGCAGAAGCTATGCCTGATATACTGCCTCCCTCTGAGCATGGGAACTGCAAGTCACACTCAAGAGGAATTCTTTTGAACTCTGAGTTGCTTAGGAAAGGTCTGGTCACTTACTTTATGGACACCTAATTATTAAAATAGTAGCTCCCTGGGATATTTTCTTGGAGCAAATATGCCCAAGAGGTGATAGTTTTAGACTAAATGGGTCTCAGAAAAATTATTTATAATGAAATGAGCTGGGGGTCTGAAAGTGAGGATTTATAAGAAAACATTGGCATGAAGATTAAATTTCCGTAGTATTCCATGTGAACCTAGTGAGATTCAGAGAGTTTTTACTTCTTAAAACAACTAGTGAAAAAGTGAAGGAGAGGAAAAGTTGATTTTTTTTTCTTTGTATACAATACAAGTCTGTCATTTATGTCTTCAAGACATTTTTTTGCATTTATTGTTTTTCCACATTGATTTTGGCCTGGATTCCGATGGTTGGAAGGGATAGGAGAGACAAGGACTGTGTTAACTAGAGAGAGGTTCCTGGGTTAGGTCATACACGTGGACAATGAACATTTCAGGAGCTTTACTATCTCATCATGCCTGTAAACTTTTTCCCCACTTTATACATTTTGGGGGGAAAAAGCGATACAGTAAGTGGTTAACAAAACAGTGTTCTTGGAGATGCGAGTAGTTGAAAGCAAGAGAAAGGAAAGGGAA